TAAAACAGGGTTATAAGTTTTAATAATTAAACAATTGTTGGAATTACTTAAAAGTATGTTCAACCTATAACCGCCTTCAGCGTGTGTCTTGCACCCAACGTGAAAAGCTCTCGAGTCATTTGCCGCTTAATTTATTACACTATTAAAGTTCTCGCACGAACTACATTTAAATAAGGCTGCGACAATGTGTCGCGCTGCACGGCTGCGTGGCGTATGGGAGAGAATATGTCAGCCTTCTATGTTAACTAAGTGGATTGCCCTCTCGCTGGTGACAACTCGAGCCATTCTTGCGGCGTGCTTACGGTTTTATGTGGTTTTGAAAGTGCTGTTTAATTTAGTAATCGAATTATTTAATATCTACATTATCTAAAGTCATTATAAGTTCAAATTAATGTCAATTAAGTGCATACACAGAATATGATAAGAAGACGCTTTAGGAAGTTTGTTTATTAGGATACCTTAATTATTATCAGCTGTTAAGAAGCACATGATAGGAAGATCTCGGAATTTATTGTACTATAATAATAAAAATGTACTATATCTATACTATTATAATAAAGCGTAAACACACACTTCTTTGTTGCCTAAGATGTCAGCAATTACAGAATATTTTTGAATAATTATATTTTCAATAAAAAGGCCTACACCTTCGTCATGCTTTAGGCTATATATTTTCACGCTATTAAATTTAGTGGGTAAATAAATTGGATAAAAATACTGATGTGGGAAAGAGACCATAAGTTGCTGCCAACATCAAGGTAAGATTGCCATGGATTGTCATAATGTCATTTTGACATTTGCAATTGATAATTTGACAAATGTAAACGATAAAATAAAGTTTTTAACATTACCTGCGGATGAAGCCACATGGGAACAGCTATTCCACTATAAATGTGTTCATCCGAATCTTCTGCCCGTAAATCATAACAAAGAATTATTATATTCAACCGATTTGGTATTTTAATCTTGATTTAAGCATCGCGTAGGCATCGTTGAGAGGTCTTATGCTCTTTAAGTCATTAACTAAAATTTATGTTCATTATGTGTAATAAATACTGAGCAATGTATTTAACATTCGTGAGCGTTCGCTGGCGACTTTATGAAAATCGTCACATCTCCAATACAATCCTATTCATTACTTAGATTTAGTTACGCCGCTTTTGTATAAGTCGTAATGAGTCATAGATTATATCAATGTAACAGTTGACTGAGTTTTAAATAGTGTAATAGTTAAAAATTTATTGCGTTTTTTATCCCGCCAAAATTTTAGGGAAAATAAATAAAAAGATATAGTGAGTGTGTGTGGAGTACGGAAAATCATATTGGAACTTTACTTTTTACTGCACAAACGTTTGGAAAAAATCTTTACCACAAAATAAGCTGATTATATCTGAAATAAAACGTGATTTACAAGTTCCTTCAAACATGATTTTTCCTAAGAAAACTTTTAATTCAGTTGCTCACATTTTCCTTTTTAGTAATGCATATAATCTTAAATTAATACACGACATAATATTTCAATAAATAACTTTATTTCATCGTGTTATTCAATAGCCACACCGTACCGTTTACTTAAAGCTTCATCATCATCACCAGCTCACTATACGTCCCCACCGAGGGGCTCGGAGCCTACCCTAATACGGGGTGACTAGGCCGTAGTCAACCACGCTGGCCAAGTGCGGGTTGGTTGACTTCACACATATCTTTGAATTTCTTCGCCGATAGGTGCAGGTTGCATCACGATGTTTTCCTTCACCGTAAGAACGTCGGGTAAATTATGTACACACATTGGTACATGGCGGCGGGATTCGAACCCAAGACCTGTAGATTACAAGTGTTCAAACCACTGAGCCACCGACGCTCCTTACTTAAAGCTTAATACATTCTAAATGCGTGTTCATAATTATGTTAAAGTATCAGAAACTAAAGTATGTATTAATTCTTAATTATACCTTATTTCAATTGTAAAAAATCATCATCTTTCTCTCCTATCTACTGCCATAGGGTCGGCGGAATAGGTTTTTATCCTCCAATAACTCTATTATACGTCATCTCAGTCATCAATACCTTTTTGCTCCTGTCACTTTTCACGCAATCCATCCATCTCTTTCTAGGTCTACCTCTACCGGTGTATCCTTCCACACTCATAAGTAACGTTCTCCTTGTAACATGCGATTCTCTTCATAACAAGCCCATACCATGCTAGCTATAAAAAGCTTCATAGATAGGTAATATTTATTTGAAAATAGAACATAACTAATTGTACGATTCGAGAAATTAGCGTATTATTATGTTACGAGAACAATTACATTAAACGATACGATAATGGACTCCTAATTAATGTTGACGGCTCAATTAATTGTTCAGCTTCAGGCCGCGATATCTCAACACACAAACATTTGTCATCGTCACATAAGATAGATTGAACGGCCAATAACTTATTTTTCCCATGTGATGACTAATTTTTCGTTAGCTTTCAATATATTTTTACACTAGCTGTTGCTCGCGACTTCACACGCGTGAAATTAAATAAATAATGTAAATATATCCTATGTTACTCAGCGATATCGTAGCTTTTCGTAGGTGCAAATTTTTTTAAAACGGGCCAGTAGTATTAGAGTTACTTTAATACACACAAAAATAAAAAAATGAAAACCGTTCCTATTTATAATATTAGTATTTAACAGCGAAAAACAATTAAATCTCAAACGCCTTAATGCTAATTTTGCTTTGGATAGAATTATGAGTATAAAAAAAGTTACTAACAATTTAGTGTGCATAGCCCAACATTTAGTGCCATAGTTCTAAAAATATTATGACCTCTTATTTAGTCATAGTGACATTTAATTGGAATTTATTATACTTAGGTATAATGTTAGAAGCGACAAAATAATTATAGTTGTTTGATTTAGGAGGTCTCTAAAATATTAACTTGGTACGATTTAAACTTGGTCCGGGTCGGACATATATGACATGTAGGTAAGATATGTGTTGCCAAAATGTGGTGCAAGTGAAGAGCAACAGCAGGTATTACAAAATTACACATTTTTACAATAGTTGGAATTAACAAGGCAAACAAGATCAAACAAGCAGAACTGTTGCTCTTCCAAGTCTTGAAACGCATAAAAATATTGCCATATTCTAGTTTACTATTAAAAAAATACTTTAACTCTTGTTGTCTCTAAAAAGACCGTAACTACATTTTAAAATAAGACCTTTAGGAATCACATTTAATTATTTAATTTCACTTTATACCTTTGATTTTTATTTTACTATGGTCGATGTCTGTTTTACTCATTTTCTCAATAGAAAATCTAAAAATTGTAAATCCGCTTATTATCTGTGTCGATGTACTCTAACAGGGATTGTAGGCGCCCTTGGCTTCGGCCGCAGGGCGCAGGGCGCAAGGAGTGTTTAGCTCACGCATGTTGCTACCGCTCGTGTCCGACATGTGAACGTATGTTAGACACCACATTGCGGCCAAATTCTTGCACATGCGGCTTTCAAAGTGCAATAACAGTTCAAATTATATCTTGTGATGTAGAGCACACAATATCGTGTTTTGATGTTTATCATTTAGGTTTTAACACGCCTTTCTCGCTTCTATATCCAGACATCTACATGATCTTAGACAACAAAAACCATGTAGCAACAAATCAAATTCTAGCACAAAAATTCCACTATTTGCAATTTAAAATCCAGTAATGTAAAATAAAAACGCATTTATGTTACAAAATGTTTAAAGCTTTATCTCGTTCATAAGTTTTGCAAAGCTTTCGTTATCTGTCTAATTGAATAACATTAATTAGCGTGTAAAGAAGTCGAAGAAGTTGTTAAAAATAAAACGGCAGGCGGTTTTTTTAATAGCTCGCGAAATGAGAATCGGAAACGTCTATCAAGATTACAAATAGATTGATATGCACTTAAAATTAATAACAATAAACATTGAACTGTCATGTGGCAATGGTGTTAGCATTTAGGAAATTTATTACTGTGCAATCTAGTTTTGGTGAGGTTGCGAAAATGTATTAATTGATTTATATGTGAACCTTGCAAGTTTATATGTTGCCGGTAAACCGTATCTCTTGTAGCCGCCTTTATTTGTGTCCTTGTACGTAAAAAAAGAAGAAAGAAATTGTTGTTAGATGTAATTAACAATGTTGAATATTGTTTACTTATAACTCCGGATTACTTATAAAAATAGTTTCGATCTCTTCAAAATTGTTTCACAATGACCTGATTGAACTATAAACACGGATGCATTTATTAAATAATTTAATGCGTACATTTAACATTCAAATTGCATTTAATTTATTTGCGTAATATATTTGAAGTACATGTTATAATCTTAGCTGAGGTCACTTAGTGCGACCATCTAAATTCCCTATAGAATCGTAGTCACGAATATTTAATATCGATTAAAATACAAGTTAACTCTATTACAAAGGTCTTTTTTACATTAGTGAGATAAATTTATTGATGCATATTCTGCGCCTTTTAAGGTTTTATTTATTTATCTACCTGCCCTTTTCTCTACAGAGGCTTACCTCAGTGGGTCACTTCTATTCATTTCTAACAATCGTCATATTAGAAATCACTTCCTTCTTATGCATATACTTTTTCACATTTTTTTTTTAAATTCACCAATTTAATTTACTCGGTATACTATCGATGTCTATGCCAATAATAGGTAACAAAGCGTGTCTCTAATTAAGATTTACATTGCGATGTTTAGATGTGTATCGGTGTTGAAGCGCACGCCGTCAACGAGTCGCACTCTCAGGCGAAAAGGTCTCTGTTAATAGTACTAAAGGTTACTTAAAGATAATAATCTGTATTTGTAAAACCTTTGTTTCAGTTAAATAATTGTTAAAGACGAAGCATCTGTATTTCAACAAGTTTTCTTTTACCGAAGTGTGTAGACAATAATTTTGGGATACTGTGCTTAGTACAGTTTTTCTCCCAATGTCAATACTCATAAAACTTTGTTCGTTCCGCAGGCGATCGGGCACGTGTCTGGCGGGCACATCAACCCAGCAGTGACGTGCGGTCTGTTCGTATCTGGTGACATCAAGCTGCTAAAAGCATTGCTGTACGTGGTCGCACAAGCGGTAGGCGCGGTCGCGGGAGCTGCGTTCATCAGGGTAAGTTATCTACATTTTTAATTCATTCTGATTGTCAAAATAACGGAGGAGCTAGTGGCTTGTGTCGTACTCCGTAATCCGTAACTTTTTTTAATAATACAATGATCAGCCAAAAGATTATTCTTTGTTCATACCGTAAAACAGACGTCAGACAGAGACACGGTATTAGAGAATTTTGTCCCTAACGGTTATCTCCCCATCCATTACTTCTTAAGCTTTGCAGCTATTTTTATGAACACATAGACTGGTATTTAAAGACGTCAAATATCTTAACGATGCTGTAGAATGAAGACAAGAATGTGAAGAAGATAAAATGTGTATCATCTACATCCTAGGTTACTAAATAAGTTTGTAATGACTGGAAATAATGAATGCGGAAAATGGACGACGGTTGATGTGAGAAAAGTGATGCATTGTGTCGGACAAATGATAGGATTAAATCTCCCTTTGTATAACACTTTTTTAAAGAGCAATTCACGTTAATTTCAATAATAATGAAAAGGTAATTAACGTAACACACGCTCATAAATTTATGAGCGTGTGTTACGTTAATTGGTTGATGAACGATGAACGATTGAACGATGAACGTAATAGGTTTTTAATAAATCGCAATTATCGAGTATATTAATTGGCAATCTTTTTAATACTTTCAAAAGAACATACACAAGTATGTATCTTATCTTTATTAACGAATTATTCTTAAATATATATTCGTCTCACTCAATCTCATTTAAATAATTGAGATACCAATATATTGTGTACTGCAAAATGTTTGAAATTAATTGGTTTTATATAGCTTTTGTTTTTTTTTTAATTATTGTATCTCATGACATAGTAACTTATGTAACGCAAGATCTCTGTCTTAACTTATTACAGAGTCGCATTAATTAACATGTATGGCTAACAAGTCGATACTATTCACATCGACATTCTAAGCACCATATAGAGCTTGCATTACGTCTTAAAGTATAACACTATTTGTTAAACTTAGCGTCTAACTTAAATGAAAATTACTTTCATAACTTAACGTTGATATCAATTTAAAGTTCTCATATTTCTTTTAAATAACTTTAATGAAATAAAATATGTCATTCAAAGGTTGGTTTATGTGTACGCACCTTTACAAACTATTACATAACAGAAATATTAATTAATAAAGGGAAGTTACATAACAATTGTTAACGTTATAACGAAACATTTAAGAAAAAACTTGTTACCATTTTGTTATAACACGAATGTCTCGTCAGTGTAAACCCACGGTTAATTATTACCATTCCGCTTAACGTTCACTAACATGTGAGCAGTACAAAAAGTGTCGCTCGCCCTGACACTGATGATGTTTGAATAAAGAAATGAATTAGAGCATCGGCCTTCAGTCGGCTAACTAGTTTGCTGACTGTACAAGCTAGGGTTGACGAATTTTATTAAATCTACACCTGAACACTAATGGCGAAAAACGACAACCATTGACTTGACAACCTCTTTAAAAAAACAAATGCCTACATAGTGAAAAAAAATTATTCTTACGAGAAAATCGGCGTTCATTGACTTTTCAAATGTCCCTAAATGTCACGTAGCCTAATGCACTATTAAAATATTAAAAACTAGCTGTTCCCATGCGACTTCATCCTCGTAAAATTATAAAAATTTCATTTTATTGTTAACATTTGTCAAATGTCAAAATGACATGAAATGATGTCAAACCATGGCAACTTTGCTTCCTTTTTAGCAATAACTTATGGTATCTTTCCCACATTAGGGTTTTTATCCAAAATATTTACCCTTAAGTTTAACGGCGTGAAAATATATAGCCTAAAGCGTGACGTAAGTGTAGGGCTTTTTATTAAAAGAAGAGTTATTCGAAAATATCCTCTTATTGCTGACATCTTAGGCAACAAAGAAGTGTGTGTTTACGCTTTATTTTATTAGTATAGATTGTTTAAACTGAAGTGGTAGCCCTACCGCCTTCGCGCCGTGATGCATGATCTATGATTATAATCGAAAGCTGTGCGAAGTTAGCGACCTCTCGTAAGCTCATCACGCGCTTCACAAACGTTACGTCGCAAGTTCATTATCCGTGCTAAAGAATAATACATAGGTATCATTGGGCTTAATGAATTGGAGACATGTTACTTTATTTATTATATTTAATTGTTTGTCGAGTGTAATACAGTTTTTAAAATAAATTTTATGTGTTACTCTAAAACTTCAGAACAAATTAATCACAGTAAATTAGTAAATGATTTAAGATTGGATGAAGTAAAATCTTTTTACATCTTTACTAATGACGACGCTACATGATTGTTTTGTACACGTAAAGTACATACACAGTAATTAGATGTAATCAGTTCACAAGCATCGTTAATATCATGTTACGTGTTAAACGAGTACAAATTGCATATGTACTTTTAAACAGTACCTTTGCATTTCTCATTAGATTACTTTGTAGTTTAAATGTATTCCGAACTCAATTAATAATCGAAATTACATTTCATTACTCAATTGTAATTATGTGTTGTATAAATAAATCAGATGCAGCTTAAAAATTTAATGTTTTTACTAATTAATATTGACATCGCAATTTATTACATTGAAAGAACCTTGACCTAAGATCTACAAAATCGATCGTATTATAAAAATGCTTAACGTCTGAATATTGAAGTGACTAATTATGATTCATTGTACGTCGTATTTGTTAAAGAGTAAAATTACAATTAAAAATAAATAAACTTTATAATTATGAGATTAAACAGGATTACTGGAAACTTCTAGACCATGCAATGACTAATGTAAACATCTACACCTTCGAGAAATCGAACGACATTTACTTTTTTTATATACCTACAACATGCACTTCATATACAAGCCCAAATAAAAACCAGTACGTGGAAACTGCGCATTATTTGTACTTAACCAACACCTTTTTATTTACAATTTGATTGACACCATAAATGTTGTTTTGTTGTAACAATGTATGTTTTGCTGCAGCTCGCTGTCCCCGAGAATGTTGTCGGAGGTTTCGGTATGACTTTACCTGGACCAGGAGTTACTGACGGACAGGTATGCTTATTGTTACTTAAACTTTTAAGGGCCTGTCCCACCAAATTGTAAATTCTCTGATTACAATCAAAATATCGTATTTTGTTCCCTTATCTGACAGTAACGTCATTTTTAAGCTATCTGAGCCTCAGCTAGTGGTGGAACAGGTCCTAAATGTTGTATAATACTACGGATACATTAACAGTGTTTGCCACTGCAACAGTTAGTGCCATCTGTCGATTTCGAGAAGAAACAAAGTTTCTTCTCAATCAATGTAGTTTTATTGCCTGTACTTTATATGTATGTTTTATGTGCAGGCTTTGCTGGTGGAGGCTCTGATCACCTTCGTTCTGGTGCTGGTGGTGCAGGGCGTGTGTGACGGCGGCCGCACGGACCTCAGGGGCTCTGCGCCTCTCGCTATCGGACTCAGCATCACCGCCTGCCATGCCGCATGCGTAAGTACTAATACACCATCTAGCGTTATTGAAATAAAAACTACATAGTAAGTAACTAAACATTAGATGGTCTATTACAGACAAAATCTAATCCATTAAAAGGAAGCGGTGAGATCACATTTATTACCAAAGTTCACAACTCTGGAGTGGTCTAGAATTACCTCGTTCTGGTCTGAATAGGTCCTATAAGCTAACAAGCGCACCATGTTATGTCTCGGGCTGATGAGCGCAAATGTTGTGTTGAGCACCGCCTTTCATAATCCTGTCCAACATTGTGTTGACACATATGACTTTTTAATGGCTGCGTATCTACGTGAGGAAATTTAACTCATGTCTTATACAAACACATGTCTAATGTTCCTTCGTTAACAGATCCCGTTCTCTGGCTCGAGCATGAACCCTGCGCGTTCCTTCGGCCCTGCCCTCGTAATGGGCGACTGGACTTCGCACTGGGTATGTACTTTTTACTTATGTCTTAATTACATCAGGCTTTATGTATAGAAAGTAAACGCTTGTTACTAAAAGAAAGAACGTTTTATGTAGTTTATTTCATATGCTGTAGTATTTTGTAACGTTTACAGTTAAAACTTATGCTTCGAAGACAATTTAGTTTTATTTATTTAAATTAAGAAAAAGTTAAAGTCTTATTGCGTAACATTCATTTAAAAAATCATAATCAAACCGAAGGTATAAAATCTAATATAGCTGATAAGCAGTTAAGTTTATAACACAGTTATTATTTATTGTAATGTTCACGATATTTGAAAGCGAAAGTAAAAGTATGCAGGTTTTCTTTTTTAAATTATTTTTATTGACGCTAGAAGTTGCATTTATAAACGGATTAGTGTTGTCGATAATAAAATTTAACGTTTTATCGACTATCGGTAGTTACTAGTGAGGTGTATCGAATCGATAACACTCACTTTCACTCGAAGTCACGTGATGTCTGCAAGTGTCAGATGTGCAGATGTTACGAGACATAATGTGCATGATCATATGCATCTAGCGTGTTACATAACGACAATCTGAATCTAGCTTTTGTTTTTGTTACCGGTTCGCTTACGACATTATTCGCGTTTTGCAGACATAGTGATGTGCAATTCGAATTCGAATCGTAAAAGTTAATTGAAATTTTATTGTGTTAGTGACATGCTGTTATATTTTATTATTCATATTTCAGAATTGAAAAGTATTAAAATTATTGAAATAGTTATGAAACGTCTGAATCTTTGAAATGTCATATAGTTATATACAAGCTGCAGTTATAATTGATTTGTTAGATATATGATTATAAAGTGTTAAAACATTCATTAGTAAGTCGAAAAAGGCACATCCTCTATAAAAATACTTCACAATATCAATGTAATATCATATACCTTATATTCATAAACACTTATCCTTCTAAGTGTAAACTATCTTTTAATTTCTGGAACGTGAACACGAGATTTAATTTTAATGTTTCCAACATTAAAAGGGTACAATCTAGATGTACACAGTTTCCGCGAAATTACAAAGTAACGAGTCCATTGTGAAGCTTTCTCATACACGATACAGAAAGCGTGGACCGAACCTTTCTATACAACACATGTCCGCACTTGCGGCGAACTGAGCGTGAATAGAGAACAATGAAAGTGAACATAATTCCTTCCTGCATCATTTTATACACGCACAATGATTTCAAATCTCTCGAATAAAATGAAATTGGATAATATCTAGATGGAAACATGATTGAAAGATAAATGAATCTGGACTTTTGTTTACTTTTATGAGATAGTAATTGAAATATGAATGTAATTTAAAGATGTTTTATTTACTTCGCTTAACTAATAGAGAGTGAATATATTTATCTCTCTCCTGCACCTGTCTTTCATTCACTCTCATTATCTTTGGTTTCGTTATATCTATAATAAATGTTTATTGTCGGCAGGTGTACTGGGTGGGACCGATCGTGGGCGGTGTGGTTGCCGGCCTGGTGTACAGGTTCATCTTCTGGATCGGCAAGGGCGGCGAGAGCGGCTCCTACGACTTCTAAGCGTCTCGAATTCATGCTAGTGCCTTAGCTACAATTAACCTCTCGCATAGCACCCTAACAGTAGTACAAATACCGAATACGCTGATTAATGTTTTGGTATGAGGAACCTAAAGATAGTTAAACTTAAAATATTTGTGAAATGTCATTTGAACGTAACTGTATTTCGCCTAACTTATTTCGTATTTATTTTTAAAACAGAACGAAAGATAAATATAAAGTATTTTTAAAATTTCTTTCAACATCTACAGACTCTTAGTCCTTGTTCTTTTTTGCACAGTTTATTTTAATTTGCGTTATTGTTTTATATTCATTTTTATAAATGAAGACTTCCAATGTCTTAGCTCGAAGGGTATTGTGAGAGGTTAATGGTTACATCGTACATGCTCATTGATAGATGTACATCTCTATGACATTCAAACTGTGACATTCTCTCACGAATATTTCATAATTTATCAATGAGCGTCTGTTACGATCGATTCTATTATTTAATATGTTTGGAACGATCCAAAGTCGATATTTATAAACGATACGCCACTTGTTGATTTAACAGAACAATAACTGAAATATTGTAAAAGACTATATTGGTCGTATGTAAGATAATATTTAGGTGTTAAGATAGGGTTTACTTTAAGTCTATTTATAGATCGGGATTTAGGCTTGATATCTACTAGAGTCGTCCGAATAAAGAAAATACCTGCTAATTAATGAAATTATAACTTAAAACTGCGCACTGTACTTTAGTGGATACCAAGCGTAATAATATTCAATTTAAAAGATGTTTTCTACACAAACTGTATACTCGTAGTGTTGTCTGTCATTGTGAATTTAACATTATTTCTATTTAATATAATTTATTATGTCGGACTAAACTCACGTGAAATATCTTTTATATAATAAATAAGTAAAAATTATTTGGTTGTTTTTATTTACAAAGCATAATTACAGTAAATAAAGCGGATTATAGTAATTTCATATTTCATCTGTTTAAAAAATAATGGAAACGTTTTGTTTCACGCAGCTATTGGTAAAGTGGCATTCATTTCTTTTATTTATTAATTACTGTAGATAAAACAAAATTTTAAAAATAACGGAAACGTTCTGTTTTACGCAGCTATTGGTTAACTGGAATTTCTTTTATTTAATAATTACTGTAGATAAAACAAAATTATTACAATCTACCCTGTCACCATGTTCTCATGGCAATAGCAAGTTGTGCCAAAGTGGGTCAAACATACACGAGTGTAAAGAGTCGGCCTTGTCCTTTATCATTTTCAATGCAACGCATGTGAGACGAATCGTTTTGAAGTAACGGTGACAATCGAGTGAATCGAGTTTAGATGATCTCCGTGAAATCGATTTGTTGGTCATATTTATTTTGTAGTGCAAATTGTTTATTGAAGGAAGGCTGGTGGTCTCAATTTCATGTGCTTATGTACCCTTGAATTGGGTTAAAACTTATACAAAATCACGAGAGACATTATTTTTATTACACGTCTAAAGTTATTTATGCTGTATCAAATCGCATCTCTCGTCACGAGTTCAACCCTCGCGGTTTCACAATGTTCGTGACAGAGCGCGCTATCAACATCATCGTCGCCCGCGCAGTTTTAACACTTTTCACCTTCGACTCCTCGGGGTCTTTATCTGCACATCTGTTGCCTTACAAGTAACGACCTACATCTTTTTCTAAACATTTACAACTCAGGGTAGTCATTACACTCTTAAAAAAATACAATTCCAACACACTGAAATTAAAATTTTACATGTTTTTCTCTAAACTAGTTCAGTATATTTTTTAATTAGTTGTTCGTGTCACTGGACATTATCAAACAAATTAAGGGTTAAAATGAAAACAATAGTATAAATGCCGAAAACGTTTATTAATTTAACACTACACATTACAATAGAGACTTTAAATTTTCTATATAAGTATTACATCGGTTAAATATTGTTAATAAGCAATAATATCACACTTGCGGAGAGGGTAAGGGGGAGGGGGGTGGGGGTGAGTCAGCAGGGCATGCAGCCGCGGTAGGCGAGGCAGTGCGAGGGGTGCGGGCGCGGCGCGGCGGGCGCGGCGGGCGCGGGGGGCCTGTCTCATGGCAGCTCTTCTATGGCGGCGCGCAGGAAGTCGTCAGGGTCGGGCAGGTCGCGCAGCAGGCCGGCCGCGTCGCACAGCTCCGCGAAGGACGCGCTCGGCAGCAGCTCGTCAGTGAGCGTGGCCACGATGCGCTCCGCCGCCTTCGCGTTCGCCTCGTCGTTGTGCCGGATGTACTCCGCCAGCTTCACCGGCCACTGCTCCACTGTTGTTGCAGACACGTTCTGTAACAAATACACGCCTTTGTTACACTGCTGCTATAGAAACAAAAAAATTTAATCGAATTTCTCTTCGAATTGAAACCCTATCTATTGGAAACACTAATTAAACTATTTAAGAGTCAAAGGATGAGTATATTATTTAATACGTAGGTTTAAAATTAAAAAAATATTTGCAACTACAATTCGTACCTTAAACATGACCGTGTACAGTAAATCAATGATAGCGAAGAATATAGCGTAAGGTTTGTAGTCAGCCCATTGCTTGGGTGCGCGGTGTTCCTGCGCCAGCGCGCGCATGGCGGGGCCGGCGGGCGCCACCGCGCGCACGTGCGCCGTCACCAGCAGCCGCTTCAGGACCGACACGCGCAGGGATTGCCATCTAAACGACACGTACAAATAAATAGGTAGTTTACAACTAGATCGCTGGAGTAATATTTTGTGATGTATTGCTGCACTCACTTAGCGTGTGGGTAAAGCAACAGCATGAACGTTGCGTAGTAAACTGGTCCGTCGGCGTCGTGCGCCGCCTCCAGCAGCCGCGCCGGCGCCCACGCCAGCGACGCCTCCAGCGCGCCCACCTCGCGGGCCGCCGCACGTGTTCTGCAATCATCATGTGTTTTATATTAAATATATGACAAAAATGCTACTAAAGAGGTTCTTTATTAAGTGTAAGTATATGTGCAGCAATCGTGTGTTTAATGTACTTGTACGTTGGTGGTGGTTGTGCACTCACGTGTTGATGACGTAGAGCGCCATGTGCAGCAGCGCGGGCACCAGCTGCATGTTGGAGAGCGGGCCGCCGCCGCCAGTATCGTCGTGGAAGGTGCGCCCGCGGGCGAACCGCACCAGCAGCAGCTTCAGGTCGTGCACCGTGCACGTGTATCCGATGTCGCGGTGACCCGTGCATTCCTATACACAATAATATATGTTTATATATACAATGTTATTTGCGTAAAATGGCACCGAAACTTATATCTAACCTGTAAATATGTGGTGTGCCTGGCGAGGCAGCTGGCGAAGGCGGACTCTGGCACGTGCGGCCCCCACAGCGGCAGCAGACCGTTGCACCGAGTAGACGCGTTCTGCAGCGCCGCGCTCTCCCATTCGTCCCTGTTAAATGTATTACTTTTAATGTGTACTTTGTGAAATAAGAAAATACTAGAGGATGCATCAAATTATGGTAAACGGTGTTACCTGGCGCGCGCGAGGCGCACGGCGGCCATGTGGCACTCCACGTGCACGATGTTGTAGTGCGACACGGTGGTGTAGCCGAGCGTCTTGCGCGCGCGCACCTCGAACTCCTCCACAGGGCATCGTTTAGTGAACGTGTAGATACCCAGCACCTGAACAAAAATACACACCTGATTTATTATTCTATTAACTACTACCTATCGCCCGCAACTCCGTCCGCAATAAATTAAAAAAGAGGAAGTAGCCTAATGATCTCCCAGGCTTTCCTCTACACCTATGCCAAATTTAATCGAGATCTGTACTGCCGTTTAGGCTACAGACTCTAAACATACATCTATCTAAACTTTCGCTTTTATTATATTAGTAAGTTTATTAAGTAAGTGATATTTTATTTGTCTGCGTGTTAAATATAGTTTAATGTACTGTAGTGACCTTTGTGGGCTGGTACTTGTAGCCCTCGCGGCAGATGCAGCAGACGGCGCCGGCCTCCTCCGCCAGGTCCGCCAGCTGCTGCGTCAGCGAGCACTGCGCCGTCACCTGGCCGCGCTCGTTGCTGCGCATGCCCAGCGCGCCCAGCTGCCGCTCGCGCACCGCCATCGCCAGACGCTTCTTTTCCTATACAGACAATAATTTACATTTTTATAATTGTAATTGATATGATCCGAGATAACAATCTGTGCAAAATCAATCATCTATAGCCTTTGTCTGCCTACGGAGGGATAAAGACCTTCCCAAATGTCTTGCATAGTATCAGTATTCACATTGATGTTATCAAAACCCTTAATCTATAAGTAAAGGTTTTATAACATTTCTTTTTCAGAAGTATTATTGGGGATGAAATTATAGGGACAAGTTAACCTTTTAATTTTAAAGTGCTCCTCTACTACCACCTATAATGGTGGTAGTTGTGATATCGTCGTGTACCGACCTGCCTGGTGAAGTCGCGCACTTGCTGCACCTTGGCGGCGCACTGCGGCTGCGAGCGCAGCGCCTCCAGCAAGTTCTCCGCCAGAGAGCCCACGTGCTCGCCCGACGACACCTGCTCCAGCCGGTGCACGATCGGGATCACCTTTTCGCACACCAACATCTGCAACACACACATATACACAAATAACATTACAATCAATGTCAAAAGTGAACAGCATGTTTGCGTACAATTTAGGGCATTTGACAACCATAAATGCGCGGAGCACATTTAGCCAGTACAGTTAGATTGTCCAACTGTAAACAGGGCATAATTTTTTTATCTAGCTGGACTGGAATGATACTTACTCGCAAAACACGTCATATCCCACTAAAAAGTATATTGATATTGAGTTTTATAGTAACCTGCGTGGGCTCGTGGTCGGCGGCGAGTCCGGTGAGGAAGCGCAGGATATACTTGAGCGCGGGCCGGCTAATGAACTCCTTCAGCTCGTCAGAGTCCGTGCACACCAGCGTCGGCTTCACGCACGGCGCGTGTTTCTTGAAACAAAACGATATTTTACATATTGCAAACATACCAAAAAATTACAAAAGAACCAGAAAATTTATCAAAACTCACCACAATATATTCCAAGGCATCGCGTACTACACCCAAAGATATAAGGTAATCTTTGAGCGTCCCTCCTATGGAGTTCCTCTCGATGTTGGCGCAGAGCACACAGAACAGCTCCATACGGAACTCCTCCTCCGTCCACTGCTCCGAGTCCAATCGGTCGAAGTCTAGCACCGGCTTGAAGTGGTCCACCAGCATCGCCATCTTGAGATCGTTGCCGTACACCAGCGCCGCCAACACGCGCGTCAGGTGACCGAGAGCCACTGAGTTGTTACGAATACCTAAACATAAATAAAATAAAATATTCGGCTCCAACATTACTATAGCACTATAGGTAATGTGAGGTATATATTCACCTGGACACTCAGTGCAGTTGATGAGAGCTTGCACATATTCCGGTCCACCAAACGTAAGTGAGAATTGCAAAAACGATACCAGGCTTTCACTCGCCGCAACAGATAGAATGCGTTCCATTATCTGTATAAAAAAACATATTTAACTTTCTCATGCAAAATGATGAAAAAAATAGTTTACAAAAGTTACAAACTACATTTTGTAAGCTGATGTTCGTGTGCATACCTCTAGAAGTTGGTATACAAGATGCGCGCGCGGCATATCCTTCTCCTCGTCAGCGGCGAGCTGCAGCGCGCGCAGCAGCACGGGCAGCGCGCGCGTGTCGGCGCGCGTCAGCACGCGTACGCAGCGCCGCACGCGCGCGCACAGCCCCAGCAGCCGCAGCAGGGTGGAGCACAGCGCACGCGCACCGCCGACGCGCTGAATCGCGGCTAACCGCTGCAGCATTACTTCCAACCCACCTAAAATACGATAACTTACAGTAACAGTAAAATAATTTTTTTTATCATTTAAAGCGGATAAAGCCGTACGGGAACAGCTAGTATATCATAAGCTGTAACTGACCGCAATCAGCGAGCACATTGGCCATGCGATAGAGTTGCTCGTCATCGACAGCCTCCGCGTTGGTCTGGCTGAGCGTCTCCACGAACTCCTCGGTGGCGTCGCCCAGCAGCCCGCGCATGCGGTACACCACACGCATCGCGTCCACGCCGTCGCCAGACGTGCACCACACCTGGTACAAAAACAAATACATTACAACTCTCGCTCGCGACTTCGTCCACGGCAAATTAAAAAAAATAGTATCCTATAAATTCTACATTTCAAATTTGACCAAGATCGATTCAGCCATTTAAGCTACAAACTCTAATAAACAAACATAACATGCATCCATCTCAACTCTCACCTAAAAATATTTTATACTTCGAAATTCGAGGTGAAGTCGTGTTTGTTCCCTGTTCGAAATGTTTGCCGCTCTGTTACCTTTTTATAGACATCCTTGACAGGCAGATCGAGAGACATGATCTTGTTGCAGACGAGCAGCTCCATGCCGTTGTCGTCCTCGAGCAGCGCGACCAGCTCGCAGTCCGTGCAGATCTTGTTCTTCACATCCCTCATGAGTGGCCCCATACCGGGCTCCAACGACGAGTACGGGTTGCCTAACATACGGCCCTGTGAAAAGTAAAATATGTTTTAGATACAGGATTATTTGTGTTGGTAATAAAATTGTCTACATGGTTCTTGTTAACAGAAACAACGTATTTACCTGTAAGAAGTCCTCTTGCTGCGGATCCTTTTCCAGCGTGAGGAAGAACTCCCCGACGTCGTTCTCTTCGGGATAGATGATGGAACAGAGACGTTCGAAGATGAAGACTGGCGTGCGGTAGTCGTGCAGCGGGTACTTCTGTACCGTCTCTATACACACCGCCATGAACTCCGCCGTCTCCGCTTCCGTACCTAAACAAAATTTAAAATTTAAAATAAATAACATAATAGTGGACAATACATTTTAAATGCAATGTAAAGAAAAAAATATCTTAACCTGTACGATATGTTACTATTAATCGTTTTAAAATGGATATGAACATAAGTGCTACACTTAGTGTCATAATCACTAAGGGAGCAAGTCTCAAAGTATAATACCTGTGGTCATCTCCTCCAGCAGTTCGAGCAGCTTCTCCTGCGTGTCGTCGGTGAGGCGGGTGCGCTGCACGACGAGGCGGCGCAGGGAGAGGTAGCCGCCCAGCACGGCGCCCACCAGCCGCCCCTTGTACACGCGCCGCCCCCCGCCCTCCTCCAGGAACATCGACAGCAGCTCCGTCAGACGCTTCAGAGCGTAACCTGCATCAGATATAACATTAAACCATCTATTTATACATAATTATAATGTCTAATTAGGATTAATTTTATAAGAACTTAGAAAAATACATCTTATGGGCGGTTTTCGAGCTACTTTTAACCATACGTTAGTGTTTTTCGTTCCGTAACTTCAAGAAATGCGTTTCCGAACAACGTAACTTGAGTTTTACTCCTTTGAATTAGAACAACCTAACGCTAAGGAATTAGTAGGTTAATAATTAATTATAAATAAAATACATGGAAACTTCTACTTTACCTTGAGCGAGATCTGATGTTAAAGTAGTTTCCTCCAATCGATGCAGTTGTTCAATCTCTTTGGTCATTAAATCAGCTATCTGTTGTAACACGCCCCGGAGTGCGAGGAACTGCTTCCAGGGGGCCTCAGATGCCAAACCTAGAGGAAAACATTTTACATTTAAAATCGATATAAAAATTCCCAATACTTCTCGAATAGTAAATAACAATACTCACTTTGATATAGCTGTAAGAATTGTTCACTGGCTTCTCCAGCTGTTCCCACTTCAGGAAGGAAACTAGTCAGTAGTATCAAGACCTACAAAACAAAATAGATTATTTATTTTTGGTCCTTCGAGTCAGAAATATTTTTACAATGAGTCCAAATCAACTTACAGCTTTAGTTCGTTCGTATGAATCGCAAAGTGACTTGACCATGGCGCAGGCGGTGTCGCGGGCGATGCGAGAGCTAGGGTCGAACATCACCGGCCGCAGCCAGCCGCCGTCCTCGAGGGCGAGGGGACGCATACCATGCGATAATAATACCTGTAATAAATACTACGCGTTAGTCCAACGATATTTAAAAATATATACTTAACAAAGGAAACGAGAGATTTTTTCATTGGTAACTTCTTTGAAAGACACTATGTCAGTTGTCATGTTTGGTACGCCATGGAATGTTCTTGTATTGGCATGTTATATAACTTTTTACAAAATTGAACTCCATCTTTTTTTGTAACAAAATATATCATAAAAATTTAAATTTTATGCAATAAATGTTTTTCAATTTAGTGATAGTGCTGCGTACCCGGTCTCTCCACTTGGCGAGGTACTTCCTAGCGAGGTGCACATCGCGCAGCGGCAGCGTGGCGTCGGGCGGCAG